GGAGCTGGTGGAGATTCTCACTTTGTAGGGTATACTGTTTTTCCATTAGGACCTAAGGTTTTACTTCCGCTGAGTTCATCACCATGTACACAGNAAAAATTGAAAAAGTTGATGCAAAGGTGCTCTCCTCTATTTTCCTATATGAAGCTGATTTTCGCCCAGGCATATGCTCTACAGCTCAACCTTAACTTAGTTCTTTTCAGCTGAGCACGCGAATCGGTGTGGTCGTCTACGGCTTGACAGCTCACCTTTATGCTCCTTTAGGTTCACTGACATATAATGAATTCCTGAACATCCAAAGCCTACCGTACTACGGAGACCAAATAGTGAATTTGGAAGAGTTAGTGAATACGGATACCCTCCCATCACATCTGTCTTCTGATCATGGACTTTCAGTGCTCTTCGAATGGCCGCACTTCAATTTCAGACGGAAATGGACCGGTCTAATTCCAGAAATGTCATTGTGCTGTTTGCCACATCCTACAGGTTCGTAAAGAGAAGCTAAAACCACGGTAAAATGGAATCAGCAATCAGCCTGGACGAAGTTTATCGTAGTTCAGTGCCGGGGGAGCATTCAACCCAGCACAAGTGGCCGACCAGTTCAAAGAAGACAATGGCGTCTTGGTTGTCTACAGTAAGCGGAAATATACATTCAATTATAACTGCGGTTTTTTAAATCTAATTACCGCTGACTTTGTAGATTATGTGGAAGAACATGGTTTCCCCGAGCCTAGGCTGAAGGACATCGCGTCGCCAGGGTACTTCCTTTCTTCCCAAACCGACCTTGAAGGGAATGGAATTAGTGAAGCACTGTGCAGCGGTAATTCTCTCACTTGCTCCTTCTTCTTCCTCAGGTAAAAAAGGTCTGTTGCTTTCAGCGAATTGCTTCTGTCGTCAAGGATACGATCCCTTCCAAGTGAACGCTCCGAGAAATACACCTTCTGGAGGTACGTTAGCGACAATGGTTCCACTTGTTCGTGAGCTGCTGGGACCTGCATTCAGGAGTTGGAGGCAGCCGACGTGAAGTGATTAGGGCAACTTAATGCTCTCGAACTTCAGGCTGCTACTCTGTGAAACAAGCTCAAACGACTTACTCGTTAGCGACCAGCCGTTGCAGAATGGAAGGAGGTGTGGTAGCTCTTGCAAAAACAAGAAATCAAACGGAGTACCTCGACATGAGTAAGTTATTCTCTCAAGATAAGTGTGTTATTCTCCTCGCCGATCCCGAGGTTACCCTTCTTCAACCAGTGCACAATTTACAAGAATTTAGTAGGTGCTGAAAATCATGGGAAAAATCCGATTTTTAAGATCCGAAAGGAAAATCCGATTGATTTTTAAGAACATTTGATGATGGGTCCTTTATCAAGTTTGGCACTGAGCCCAAACTCGAGTACCAGTATGGCTAATATGTCTAATAGTGTTTGTTATTTGTTCCAAGCTAGTCGTGTTTATTTAACTATGACATCAGTTTATATCCGCCATTGGGACTTACTCTACGCTCCTTAGTTACAATATTTAAGAAAATGTTGGATGAGAACTAAGAGGTCCCAAAGATTACTAGCTGATTGGAAATAGAAAGATGTCCGTGACTTGCCTCGCTCGTTTAGAAATTGTCAGAGACTGTCAAAGTCAACAGTGGACAGAAGTCAACATTCATAGTGTCAGGAAAGGTCAGCACAAGGAGCTGGTGGAGATTCTCACTTTGTAGGGTATACTGTCTTTCCATCAGGACCTGAGGTTTTACTTCCGCTGAGTTCATCACCA